ACCACCACCACCACCAACATCATCATCATCATCATCATCATCATCATCGGATTATTGGTATCAACATCATCGTCATCGTCAGCAGCAGCAGCAGCCATCATCATCATCATCATCATCATCATCATCATCATCATCATCATCATCACTCATCATCACTCATCATCATCATCATCATCATCAGCATCAGCATCATCATCATCATCATCATCATCATCATCATCATCATCATCATCATCATCATCATCATCATATCATCATCATATCATCATCATCATCATCATCATCATCATCATCATCAGCATCATCATCATCATCATCATCATCATCATCATCCTCATTCCTCATCCTCATCCTCATCCTCATCCTCATCCCATCCCCATCATCCTCATCATCTCATCTCATCATCATCATCATCATCATCATCATCATCATCATCATCATCATCATCATCATCATCATCATCATCATCATCATCATCATCATCATCATCCTGTCTCCGGGAGCCTCGGTTCAAGCGGGCCTCGGGGCGCCTCGGCGCCCTCTTCGTCCTCATCTTCCTCCTCGTCCTCCTCCTCCTCCTCCTCCTCCTCCTCCTCCTCCTCCTCCTCCTTCCTCCTTACGTATCCCCTCTACCTCCCCGATTCCTCCTCTTCCCTTCTCATCATGAGGAAGGCTGCGCGCGCGTCCTCCGCGCCCGCGCCCAGCGGCCAGAGCAGCAGTTCTGCGTCCAGGGTCCACCCGTTGCCGTCCGACCGGGTGATGCCGGTGCACCGAAGGGGAAGGAAGGAGAACCGAGGGGGAGAGAGACGGAAGGGGGGGACGAAGAGGGGGAGGTCGGGGGCGGGAGGATGAAGAGGGGAAGGGGGGAGGGGCCTCATCATCCGCCTCCCCCATCCCCCTTGAAGGGAGAAGGGATGGGAGGAGGGCGAGAAGGGGGAGGAGGGAAAGGTGGGAGGGTAAGGGGGAGGAGGGAAGGAGAAGGGGGACACGGGGAAGGGCGGAGGCAGGAAGAGGAGGGCGAGGGAGGGGCAAGAGGCGAGCAAGGATGAGGATGCGGACGAAGACGAAGACGAGGCGGCGGAGGAGGAGGAGGAGGAGGAGGAGGACGACGACGACGACGACGAGGGGGCCGAGAAGGGCGAGGGAGCGGAGAATCAGGGGGAGGGGACGGGGGGAGGAGGGGCAGGGGGAGAAGGGGGGGAGAGGGCAGAAGAGAGAGGAGGGGGGGAGGGGGGCGAGGACAAAGAGGAGAAGAGGAGAAGAGGAGAGACACGGGAGAGGTGCACTTGCGAGTGACATTGTTCAGGTACACGGCCGGCCGCTCCGATTTGTTTCCGACCCACGTGTCTATGAAGGCGTAGAAGTCGGCGCCCCCATCGGCATCCGCGGCGACCTGCAGGAGCGGGGAGTAGGGCGTGATGTCGACCACGGCCTGGCGCGGGGAGGGGCGAGGAAGGGAGGTGGGGGGTGGGACAAGGGCGGAGGAGGGACCGAGGAGGTGGAGCTGGATGTTGCTAGGGGTGTCCCTGGCCCAAGGTGTCCCCAGTTTTTCGCTCCATTTTGGGATCCCTGGGGCCCTGTGGGCCTCGTGAGGGGTGCTCTGGAGGCCGTGGGGCCTCCTTGGAAATCCTGGGGGCACCTGGGGCGAGGGACGCCTCCAGCAACACCCAGTGGAGGGGAGAAGGGAAGAAAAAGGAGGGAGAGGAAGGAAGGGATCGGGGATTCGAGGGGGAGGGGGGCAGAGGGTGGCGAGGAGCGGGGGGAGAAAGGAGGAGGAAGCAGGAGCGAGGAGGGAGAGGGAGGGGAGGGGAGAGGAGAGGGTAAGGAGGTGAGAAAAGGGCCAAGGGGAGGGGGGGAGAGGGGGAGGGGGCGGGGGAGGGAGACAGGAGGAGGAGGACGGAGGAGGACGAGGGCGAAAAGGCGAAGGGCGATGCCCAGACCGCGACGCCGGAGCCCAGGCCGACGAGGCGCCGCGGAAGGCGCAGGCCGAAGAATTTTCACGCGCAACCACGCTGCTGGGCAGCCCGGAACAGGCAGCAACTCCAGAGCCCCCTGCAGCCGCGGGACGATCCCGCCTTGTCGCCTCCAACAGCCACGGCAGCTCGATGACGCGCCCCTCCCCGAGCGGCCGACGCAGGTCCCCAGTGCCAATCCCAGAGGAATCGGGGCTGCCGCTGGTGGCGGCAGATTTGAGCACCGGGCGCGCGGTGCTCTGCGACCCCGGGGGCGCTGGGTGCCCTCTGCAGCGTCTGCGACCGCCTGGCATGGAGGGGCGCGTCCGCGAGAGCGCTGCCAGCGTCCCAACCGCCTCCAGGGTCACGCCGCTGCGGAAGGGCGAGCGCGGCGTTCGGCCCATCGCGGCGCCGAACATCCTGCGGCGCGCCGGTTGCCGCGCGGCGGGGCCAACTGACAGACGCGCTCGGCGGACCGCAGTTCGCGACTGGCACTGCATCTGGGACCAGAACTCTTGGCGCACGCAGCGCGCGCTCTCCTGAAGGGTCGCCGCACCTCGCGGCCACTGCCCTGGACCCCAAAAACGCCGCGCGCACGACGCGCAGGGCCGCGTGTCTCCGGGAGCTTGAGCAGGAGCATCCCTCCCCCCTACCCTTCGCAGAGGTCCGCTGCAGACGCCGCTCGCAAGGAATCCCACCAGCCCTCTGTCACCGAGGACCATGCTTTGGAGCCACCACGACCCCCGAAATAGCCGCCGAATTCCCAAGGAGTTGCGCGGTTTTCCTTTGTTTTTTGAGAGCATGCAATGCTGGGCGCGCAGGCCCGCCTGCAACGCCCCCTGGCGAGCATCCATTTTGAACCAAACATCACCGCGGCCGTCGCCATCATCACCGCGAAGACCACAAGAGAACAGATGTTACATTCATCATCGCGCTGAGGGCACGTCAGCCTGCGTCGCCGCACATCGACTCTTTGCCACAGCCGAGTGCTGCGTGCTCCCAACAGCATTCGTCGACAGCTGTCAAAAGCAAAACCGCCGACATGGTCCCTGAAAGGGCCGCCAGGAGGGCCGCCGAAGGGGCCGCAGAGATCGTCGGCGAAATCGCCGCCGAAATTGCCGCCGAAATCGCCGCCGAAATCGCCGCCGAAATTGCCGCCGAAATTGTCGCCCAACTTGCCGCCGAAATTGCCGCCGAAATCGCAGCCGAAATCGCAGCCGAAATACTTGCGAACTCCGCCACGGTCGCCGCCGAAATTCAGCCGCCAAAATCGCCACCGAAATTCAGCCGCCGAAATTGTCATGGCCCTGTCCACAGCGAACTCATTATTTTTATCAAGCTCGATGACGCCGCGGACACAGGCATTGAATCACAGCCAAGGTCAATTTCGGCCTCTTTTCGGCGGCACAATCAGGAATGTCGGCGGAAATTCGGCGGCGAGTTTGGCAGCAATTTCGGCGGCGATTTCGGCGGCAATTTCGGTGGCAATTTCCGCCGCAAGTTCGGCGGCCCTGTCGACGGCTCTTTCGGCAGCCCTTTCGGCGGCAATTTCGGCGGCCCTTTCGACGGCTCTTTCGGCGGCCCCTTCGGCGGCGTTGCTTTTGCCAACTGTCGACCATGGCTGCCGGGAGCTCTGGGCACTCGGAGGCCCCAGCGGGCCCTCAGAGGGCCCTCGAAGGGCCTCGCCAGAAAGCGTCTGCGAAGTAGCTCAAGCCACGCGTGAGGCACGCAACGTGCAGAGTGAATTCCTCCTCGCAACGTGCAGAGCGAATTCATCGCGTTATGCGTCAGCACGCCCTACCATGCGCATGGAAACCACCGCGCGACAGGGCGCGCCTGCACACCGAAACCATCAAGAAAAGCTCAATTTCGTTTGGAATGAATTTCGGCGCGCGCCCCTTTTCGTCTCCGAAGAAAGTGCCACTACGACCTCTGGGCTGAATGATCTAACGGAGCTCCCTGCCACAATCCCTCTTTCCCATGCTCCGGCTCCCACCCCTCATCCCTTTGTCCCTTTTAAAAACAATACAAACACACACGCACACACACAGCCACACACACACACAGCCACACACTCTGCATGCAAATTCGGAGCATGCACAACCAACCCGATGCGCCACCCCCCCACCATCCCTGTAAAAAACAAGACCAAATGCACTCTGGGGCAAAGTCTTGAGTCATGTTCGTGAGGCCCGCGAGCACCTTTTATTGATTGTTTGACAATGGCGGCGGGGATGTCAGCATACTGTCGGCGTGTGGAAGAAGCTCTTTCACTCGTCGCTGGTTCATTCGTCGTCTCCTCGTCGTCGACGTCGTCGTCGTCGCCGTCGCCATTCCAAGCTTTCTCATGGGTCTCCTTCTCCAACGCGCCAGCCGTTGCCTCTCTTACCCTGTGCAGATTATTTCAAGCGTGCTAGCCAAAACGACAATAACGAACGTCGCAATTCATTCGAAGGGGAGCCCCTTCCCTCCCGCCGGGGGCGCGGGGTCCGTGAAGGGTCCCGGGGGAGACCCGGGCGGTCCCGAGGAGGGTCCTGGGTCAGAATGCCCCCCCTCCCCCCCCAGAGGGTCTCAAAGCCCCAAACCCCCAAGAAGAACCAAGACTGCCCCAAGAGGCCCCCAAGACGGTCCAAGAGGCCCCGAATCCCCGAAGTATCGGTCCAAGACGCCAGAGCAGCTTCCAAACGGCCCAAGAGGTTTCCAGGACGCCCCAAAAGGCCTCCAAAAGCACTCCCAAGAGGGCCCCAAGAGGCAAAAACTGTTTTTCCAGAAAAGTTGTTGATAGAGTTTGGGATTCTCGCCTTTCCGGCTTCCCAACACTCCAAGATGGCTCAAGAGGCCCCCAAGATCGCCCCAAGATAACCCAAGAGGCTTCCGAGAGGGCACCAAAACGACCCAAGAGGGGCCCCCAACGGCCCAAGAGGCCTCCAAGACGGCCCAAGAGGCCCCCAACACGGTTTCAAGAGTGCCCAGACGGGAAACAGTTCGAGCCCTCGGCCTGAGAGGCTCACAGGAAGCGCCAAGAAGCCCCCAAGAAGCCCCCGAAGAAAACCCAAGATGCGCACGGGAAGCCCCAAGAGGCCCCCAGGAGCCTCCCAACAGGCCCCCAGAAGGCTCCCAAGAGGCCCCAAAAATGACCCCCCTGAGGCACCCGAGAGCGCTCCGAAGAGACCCCAAGAAGCATCCCCTAGGACTCTGACCCAAGTCAGCGTCGTCGTCGTCGTCGTTGTTCAGGGTCGGCGGCACTGGACGTAAGGCCTCTCCAATACACTCTGGGGCAAAGTCTTGAGTCATGTTCGTGAGAGCCGCGAACGCTTCAGATTGTTTTTGACAGGGGCGGCGGGCTTTTCAGCAAATTGCCTGCTGAGAGCAGGGCCACCATCCCTGTCAACAAAAAACAAAGCAAAATGCACCTCGCGGCTAAATCTGGATCATGCGGCGCCGCCCCGCGATCACTGTCAACTGGTTGTTGACAGGGACGGCGGGGGTAGTGGCGTCTGGCCTGCTGTGCGCAGGCCCACCAAACAAAAACATGGGCATTGGTTTTCGGCAAGGATAGTGGGAGCCGACAGTTTTCCAGATGTGTGTTGTCACGTGCGCACGCACACTTGACACACTCTGCACGTGCCCCGAACGTGGCGCACTTGGCCCGGCTGGACTATGCGGCACACCTGGCGCACGTGGAGCATGTGGCGCATCTGGCGCACCTGGCGTGCCTGGCACGCTCGGGCCCCAGGGGTGCCTGGCGCGCGTGGCGCGCCTGGCACGCGTGGCACACCTCGCCCCAGCGTCGCGCACATGGGATCGGTTTTGGTTCCCAGTAGCTGCCCATCCAAAGACGACCGCTGAACATGCTGAAGTTCGGGTGTTATTTATGTGTTGGGAGGGCGGGTGGGAATGAGCTAGACGGCTTGCTATCTAGGAATGTGTCTTGATCACTGTTCCCTATTAATATACACCCCCTCCCCCACCCGGCCAGCGGCCAACCCGGAACCATGCCGAACCCATGCGGGCCACCCCGCCACCATCCCTGTCAAAAACCATACAAAACGCATTCTGCCTCTACATTTGGAGCATGCGCGGCCAACCCGATGCGGCCCCCCCCCACCATCCCTGTCAAAAAAGAATACAAAATACACTTTGGGGCAAACTCTTGAGTCATGTTCGTGAGGCCCGCGAGCACTTTGTATTGTTTTTGACAGGGGCGGCGGGGGTGCCAGCAGATTCCCTACTGCACGCAGGGTTACCATCCCTTACAAAAAATACAATATGCACCTTGCGGCTAAATGTGGAACATGTGCGGCCACCCCGCGATCACTGTCAACTGGTTGTTGACAGGGAAGGCGGGGGTGATGGCGCGTGGCCTGCTGTGCGCAGGCCCACCAGACAGAATCATGGGCATTGGTTTGCGACAAGGATGGTGGGGGCCGGTGTTTCCCGATATGTGCTGTCACGTGCGCAGGCGCACCTGACGCCCTCTGCACGTGCCCCGAACGTGGCGCTCCTGGCGCGGCTGGACTATGCGGCACATCTGGCGCACGTGGAGCACGTGGCGCATCTGGCGCACCAGGCGTGCCTGGCACGCTCGGGCTGCAGGAGTGCCTAGCGCGAGAGGCGCCCCTGGCACGCGTGGCACACCTCGCCCCAGCGTCGCGCACCTGGGGTTGGTTTTGGCTCCCAGTAGCTGCCCATCCAAAGACGACCGCTGAACTTGCTGAGGCTCGGGTGTTATTTATGTCAGCCCACAGGGGCGCCGTGCATCACCAGGGAGGCGCTAAGCATCACCAGGGAAACCCTCAAGAGGCCTCCAGGAGGCCCCCACGAAAGACCAAAGAGGTTCCAAGAGGCCCCTTCCGAAGCATCAAAGACGCCCCATAGGCCAAAGACCACCAAGACCACTCTTCCTCCTCCTCCTCCTCCTCCTCCTCCCCTCCTCCTCCTCCTCCTCCTCCTCCTCCTCCTCCCCCTCCCCCCTCCCCCTCCCCCTCCCCCTCCCCCTCCTCCTCCTCCTCCTCCTCCTCCTCCTCCTCCTCCTCCTCCTCCTCTGCACTCATCAAGGCAACTCGACCCACTCTTCATTTTGATGAGCCCTGTCGCCCAAAACAAAACGCGACATGTCTGGGCAACAGGCAACGAGTGACACATCCATGGCCGCATGTAACCTCCCCCTCCCCTCCCCCCTCCTCCGCACCCGCACTGGGGAGCGCGCGGGCCAGCGCTGCGAAGGCCCGCTCTGCGCAAAAGCCCGGCACGCCTGGCGCTGCTCGCGCGGAGAGCGCCGCAAGGCGAGCAGCAGAAACCTGGAGGCAGCCTGGGAAAGCACCCAAGTCGAGTGCGGTTTCCGCTTGGCGCGCCAAGCGCTGCTGCCGGCCTGGGACCGCTAGCGTTGACGCTGCGCGGGACGTGCGGCAGGGCACGACCTCTTGAAGTTTGCAACGAAATCAAACTCGCGTGAAGTCCACTACGGTGTCGCTGCCTGAAGCCATCTGGCGCCGTGGATGTCGACGTGGCAGCAAGGGGAGGAGAAGGGGGAAGAGGCAGACAAGGAGGAAGAGGACGAGGGCGCCGAGGCCAAGGACAAGAACGAGGCCGAGGAGGACGAAGGCGACGGCGACGAAAGCAACAACCACGCCGACGGCCTCCAGGCCCGCCCGGTACGCCGTAACAAACCGCAAGAGCTCGGCGCGCCGCTCGGTGCCCTCGCCGCCCTTCTCGGGAGGCGGCTCTGGGTAGACCTCGGCCGCAGGGGGGGGGGGGGGGAGGCAGGGAGGAGCCGAGGCACGGCGAGAGGGAGAGAGGTGGAGGAGGAGCAGCAACAGGGGGAGAATGAGGCGAGAGGAGGTGGCGAGAGAAGGAGGACGGGCAGGAGCAAGAGGAGAAGCGGAAGGAGGGGAAGGAGGCGAGAAGAGAAGACGACAGATCGGAGAGAAACAGGAGGAGGAGGAGGCAAGAGGAAGCAATACTGGTGGAGGAGGTGGCGATTGGTTCTGCCAGGGGCGGAAGGATAGACGAGGAGGCGAGAGGAAGCACGAGGGAGGGTGGGAAAAGGCGACAGGACGGAGGACAGGACAGGCTCCTCATCGTCCTCGTCCAGGTCCTCCCCGTATTTGGGGGGGAAATTAGCAAAGAACGAGGACGAGTGGGGGGGGAGATGAGAAAAGGCATGGAGAGGAGGCGGGGGAGGAGACCCAAAGGGAAAGGGGTGAAGAAAGGGGAGGAGGCGAAGGAGGAGAAGATGCTTGGACTGTCTGCTCACTTATGCTGAACTCTGGAGATCAAAACAAAACTGAAAGCTTGAGGGTGAAATTATACGGGCTCGGAAGAGAATAAAGTAGAGCTGCAAGGAGGGAAGGAAAGGCGCAGCCCAGCCCAACACCAGGGTGCAGGGGACACCCTACACACAGAGACCCTGGGCGGGAAGGCGGCTTAATCCGAAGAGTCTCCTTCCTCCCCCAGCACTCGTTGAACAAGAGGCCTCTCATCGCCCTCGGCGCGCAGCGCTTCCACAACGCGCCGCAGGGATCGTGAGGGCCTGTCAGCTGCATCACAACATCATGGGCCGTTTGTCCCAGCGAATGGCTGCGCAGCAACCTCCGCAACCGACCGACTGGCAATGAGCACGTCCGCACTCCCAAAGGCCCGAAAGGGGGTTGGAAGCCTGTGGCGCACTCAGAACTGTCGAGCCCTACCAGAGGCTGCTGGACTCGGCTCCAGGAGCCACACTTCTGCTGGGGCTGCGCACTCGCTGCGATGCCTGGACTTGTTTGGGGGGAACGTTGCGGGGGCCGTCAAGGACTGCAACACAACCCGCAAGGAGGTTGACTGATCTCTGCCTGGCCCGCGCCCCACACAGGCCACAACAAAAACATACTCGGCCTTGAGCCACAGCCGAGGAGAGGCAGCAAGCTGCTGCCCTGCATTGTAGGCAGGGCGGTCTACTATCAAAGGAGGTCCCCCATGCCTGGCTGCGCCCAAAGAGAGGCATCGATGGGCCCCGCGAGTTCCCCACAAGAGCGACCACCATGACGCAGGATGGGCTCCCTGGACGTCAAGGCAGGGCAGGCCGACAAGGAGCGGCCGCGAAAACCCTTGGGCTTCTCTCCGGCACGGGTCCCGCACCCTGCGCATTGCCTGAGTGCCATGAGCCGGGGAACCTGCTCCTTGGGAACTACGGATGGATCTATCCTTCGGCCTGCTCGCAATCTCGGCGGCGAAAGTGGCAGCGCGCAGGAGCTCTGGCTTAGCCTTGAGCTCCAAAGCTAGCAGTCCTTGACGCTGGGCACCTGGAATCTAGCTTAGCACAGCTCGGCTATCTGCTAGCTCGTCAGCTGCTCGATCTACATATAGATATATACATATATATGTGTGTGTCACCAACGAGGGCGACACCTTCGACCCGAAGCAAGCAGCTGGAGCACGGGTACGCCGCAGACGTGGAGCAACGTTCAAGCCGAAGGAGGCCCCCAGTCAGATGAACGACGAGCTGAAGGACCTGCTGCACACGAAGCAGATCCGCGAGCTCAAGGGCAGCATCATCACGACAGTGAAAGCAGAGGAGAAGGACCCCATTGGTCGTCGCCATCGAGACAGAGAACAAGCACCACGCTCGTGCCATCCGCCAATAAGGAGAATCACACAAAAGGGGCCACCCAGCACCTGGATCTGCCATGGCGATGGTGGAGACGTTGGCCAAGCAGGACATAGGTGCGAAGTACAAGGCAGACCTCGAGAGCTTGATCCAAGTGTGAAAGTTGTATTAGCAAGGATGTGAGTTATAGGATGATGTTTAGAATTATCTATGTTGCTGCTCTCGCTCGCTCATGCTTGCATTATCTTGTTCACTATTGCCATTTGTGGCTTGGACCCGCCCAGCTGTGGCGGGAGGGTGGACGCATTCTACGACTGTCTAGCTTGACATCGGAACAAGATCAGATCGCACTCTATCTATTTCTTCTTGCATCAAGAGGTTGTGGGTGGAGAGATCAGGATCAATATTTACACTGGTAGCGTGAGCTGAATCGGTCCACGGTACGAGGATTACATACAGAGTGGCCTTGCAGACATATATGCTGGCGCTCAATTACATCCTCGCGGTGCTTAACCACTGCGCTCATCAACAGATCACGGTGATCGACAAAACGCTCAAAATCATTACCTACAACAGCTTGGACGGAGATCGATATATCAACAACATCCCGGGCGAGCAGCAAAACTACAGCAACGATAGAGACAGCTACTACATCGGTAACAAGCTCAGTAGCATCACAGTCATCAAGATGACGTCCAGGCAGCACCAGCAGTTCAATGACAGCCCCCTCTTCGTGGACAAAGAGGGCGTGGTACACTACAACGGCGACCCATCCTACGGAGAGGAGTTCGAGGAGCGTGCGATACTCGGCTACCACGCGAGCGAGGAGAAGATCAAGAAGCTCTATGCGATCAAGCTCAAGAATTCTCTAAATGGACGAGCGTGGACACTTACACGAAAGAAGGTTGAGATCAGTACGCAGGCAGTTTTGGACGAAGCAGGTAATGACCCACTTGCTGCAGTCAAACTGGTGGCAACTACAGTACGACAGGCGTGCGAGAGAATCGCACCACTACAGAAGCAGCAAGCGTTCGAGGAGTATTTCTTCCGAGGTTTTTCGCAATCGAACGGAGTCAGTGCAGGACTACATATCGAGACGAGAGACGGAGTACGAGCGGCTCAAGTCACTTTCAACGAACACGACAATCAGCGAGGACCTACGGACATACTTTCTACTAAAGCTAGCGAACATCAGCATGCAAGAACAAAGGCAATCCTTGGCCAATGCAACAACGAATACATCTGGGACGACGTGACGGCGGCCATGCTGATACAGCTGGACAGCACAGGCCGAGACGATCGTGGACATGGACGATACGGATCCTACCCGGTGGACTACGACGACGAAGAGGAAGAAGCTCTACTCGGAGATGAATGTGCACCGTGCGATGAAGACGTTTTCCCGAGTGATGAGGACTACGACGCACTTGCAGCGGACATCGACGAGTTCGAGGGAGTGATTGATGGCGTAGACCCGGACGAGATCAGCCAGGAGGAGTGCGACACCCTGGCGACGGAGGCTCAACGTCTTGGCTGAAAAGCTGGACGGCGCAACCACAAGCCCAACTACAAGCAGGCCCAGGAGCGGCTTGCTCAGAGCAAGTCGAATAGAGGCTGGAAGGCCAACATCAACAAGCAGGGCTCCATCAAGATGGACAGCAAAGAGGCTGAGGATAAGCTGAAGCAGATCAAGGCACGCACGAAGTGCAACGCGTGCCACAAGAAGGGCCACTGGAAGGGTGACCCCGAGTGCGAAAAGACGAGGTCACCAGTGAGTGGATCCAGTACGCTACAGCGTGGAGGATGAGGAGGCGGACGTGGAGGACGAGGCTTTCACGGACGACCTGGAGGTTTTCTACGACGAGCTGGATTCGCAATGGCGACCGCGGTCAAGCTGCTGATGGCGGACAGCTCGATGGATATGACCGCCATTCAGATTGTCAGCGACCAGCTGGCAAGCATAGACGTGGCGATGGAGAAGATCACGAGTCTGACGAAGGTGAGAATCGACACCGAGGAGCAGATAGTGAACACCTACGCGGTATCAGCAGCAGGAGACCAGCCGAACTTCCAAGAGAGGATCGACCAGGCACACGAACCATACCCAGTACCTGGAGAGCATCAAGCACAAGAATCTGACGAACCCCTGAGCACTCCAGTGAGCTCAACGAGCAGACCTACACCAGGGACGTGGTCGAGGACGGATCCCAGCAGACCAAGTACAGACTACCTAGAAGATGACAACACAGAGACCGACCTACAAAGATACGAGAACGTGCAGAGCAGATCGCAGCATTGTGGGTAAGCTGCGAGAACATGGAAGCGGCCGACAGGGACTATATGGATTTCTGTTTGGACTGGGCGCTACATCGTTTCCAGCAGCTCATGCACATCACCATGGAGATGGCACCGAACGGTCTCAGGAATCTGGCCTACGAACTATGCCAAGCAGCCTGGGACAGGACCTCGGAGCTTCGTGACATCGTAAGGAGTACTTGCGAGCGCCTACCGATTGGAGTACGACCGACATGGTTGTGGACGCAACATCGAGCTGGAACCAACTACGCTCCAGAGGGAACTGGGCGGCAGCAACCTTGCGAGGAGCCGGAAGAGATTGAAGCCTACGCAGTACGAGAAGGACCTATTCCAGATGGACATGCTGTACTGGACACTGCGTGCCTACGTGGATGTGGAGGTTCAATATCACTGGACGGCTACACAGAGGACGGCAGAGTTACCACGCGGATGAGAAGATCATCCATGCGCTTCCGAGGCGTGAATGATAGCGCCCCGGTCATGGCAGAAAGAGAACAAGAGGTGACGGCTGGACTTGCTGGAGCTGACGTGAACCTACGCTTCCAGAGGTTGCCGAAGTCAAAGACGCCAATACTGCTGAGCATCCACCAGCTGGAGGAGCTCGACACAGTGATATACATCAAGGATCAGAAGGCGGACTTCAAGGCGATCAACAAGTACGGAGTGCCTCTTAACAAGACAGAGAAGGGACACCTGACGATCTCGCTCAAGGAGTGGCCGAAGAAGGAGACGACAAAGATCGACCCATCAGTCACGTCCGACGAGATCGACATCTGGAATGCGGAGGTCCAGGAGATCGATAAGGGCATCCTACGGCGGAAGCAGAGGAAG